TGTGTCTGTTTTTGTGCCAGTACCATACTGGGAAGAGCGATTTTTAAACAAATCAGAGTGAAATTTCCATGATATATTAATTAAGTAATTTTGATCCTGGCTACATTTTGCAGTGTTAGTTGTCTTATTTCAATGTAAACTCATTGAATTTCCATTTATAATTCTGGTTAAGTAAATCTAGAGCTTAAGTAAATTATCCATTATTCTGCCAGAGGAATAGCGTCATTTCCCGAACTTGAGAGGAAAATGCATATCAAGGACTGCTGTCTCACTAAAGGACACAGTGATGAGTGGAATCATCTGCCCACGCCTCTTGGTGGCGAGGGTCCGGGAGAGGGTTCCTCTGTGGAACTAGAACTTGAAGGGCCGCTCCATAACAAAAACGTCATCAGACTATTTATTTCACTAATGAAACCTAATCATGTTTTACAGAAGCAAATGTTTCTGTGTTCATTCCCATTTCCACGGATGCTGCATCAGTTGGTTGCAAGCGCGTCATGGTCTCCATCCCCCTGGGCGTTGTCTGCGTCTTGGTGGCATTTTCACCTGTGTAATGAGAAGAAAAATGACACCTAAGCTCCTCTTCTTTCCAGCTGTGTTCTTCTCCTTAATTGGCTGACCGGCCTCTTTAATATTCCTAGGACAAGGAATAGCTTGAGAACTTGAGCATGTGATTTTTAACAATATTTTGTGTAAATTTTATTTTTTTTGAATTGAGGTTTCTGGTCTAAGTATGAACAGATCTTTGAAAATCTGTGTGTAGGGTGCCTGGGTGGCTCAGTTGGTTAAGCGACTGCCTTTGGCTCAGGTCATGATCCTGGAGTCCCGGGATCAAGTCCCACATCGGGCTCCCTGCTCAGCAGGGAATCTGCTTCTCCCTCTGACCCTCCTCCCTCTCATGCTGTCTCTCATTCTCTCTCGCAAATAAATAAAATCTTAAAAAAAAAACTGTGTGTAGTAGGTTTTAGCATGTATAATAGTATAGTATCTGTATTGCTAAGTTG